AGAAAGTCCTGGAAAATGCCATATAGAGATGATATGTAAAATTGGAAGTCTGTCTGATGTTCAGAAAGGTAGGAAATTGAGAGTCAAATATCACCTTTATCATTAATAGCTGTGACCTGGCAAGCCTCTTAACACGGAGACTCAGTTCCATACTGTAGAACGTTTGCCTTTTAATCTTTCTAAAAAGACAGAAAAAATAACTACAAGTTCTATGGACTGGTTCTGTGAGTTGAAATATAAATACAGATTAAGGTATATAAATATATACTTACATATATAAATTATATAGATTTAAAGCATAAAGTTATATTTATATTTTGTAAAATAAATATAAATACAATTAAGGTAATTTGTAAATATAAATTTATATAATACAAATAATTGTGTTATAAATATAAATTAAAATAGTATTATAATGACTTTTAATACTAGCCCATTCCAGTACATGATTCAAATACATTATCAACTCTATAAGCTTTCAAGGGAATATTCCCAGGGAATGTAGTAAGAGAATACTCAAGCATCATTCCAAAAACTATTCTTCTTTAAGTTGCCTTTGTTAATTAGTGAATGGTTTTCATGCTTAAAATGTCAGTCCCAAGTTAGGCCAGAAGATTCTTAAAGATGATGCCAACCCAGTAAGACACACCACCACTAGGGAGCCATGCCAGACATGATCTCTGGTTTGTCCAGCTATCTGTAGCTGGCCTGAATGCTGAAAGTGTAAGGAAAAGGTACCTTTAGGATCTTCTAGCAAAGGAAGGAGAAAAGATGTGTTCAAGTAAGAGGGAAGGAAGTTGGGAGACGGCAAAGAGGAACATTAACGAAAACTCAAAATATTTAAACCATGACACCAAAAAAGAGAAAAAAATTACTGTAGCCTAGCCAACAAGGAATATTCAAGTAGCACAGAAAATTCAAGAAGACTGAGGACCTGAAAAAGGGTTTTGGAGTTAGACAATTAAGAAGTCTCTGAGTAGCAGGTGGGGCACAGTAGCTCAATCCTATAATCTCAGTGCTTTGGGAGGTCTACGTGGGAGGACTGATTGAGGCCAGGAGTTCAACAGTAGCCTGGCCAACATAGAGAGACCTTGTCTTTACAAAATATTTAAAAACTACCCAAGCGTTGTAGCAAGCACCTGTAGTCCTAGCTACCTGGAAGGCTGAGATGGGAGGACTGCTTGATCCCAGAAGTATGAGGCTGCAGAGAGCAATGATCACATCACTGCACCCAGCATGGGCAACAGAACGAGAGACATCCTATCTTAAAAACTAAAAATAAAATAATAGAATAATGGTAGCCAGGGGTGAGGGGAGGGGAAGAAATGGGGAGATAAAGGTTAAAGTGTACAAAGTTGCAATTATGTGGGATGAATATATCTAGAGATCCAATGTACTACATGAGGACTATAGTTAATTACATTGTATTAGATTCTGAAATTGTACTAAGAGATTAGATTTTAGGTGCTCTTACCACAAAAAATAAAAAAACTATGTGATAGAAATGCTCATTTGCTTGGCTGTGGTAATCATCACCATATATATGTAAATCAAAACATAATGTTCTATATCTTAAATATATACAGTAACAAACAGCTTTTTTATAAAAACAAGTCTCTGCCAGCAGAGGTAGCACTGCTAAACTCAATAGCAGAGAGATTACAAGCAGTGTTATTGTTTCCTCATAATCCTTCAAAAAATAAATACCTCAGTAATAAGCAAAAGAAGTGAAGAACAACAGAAAAATTCTAAAAAGTCAAGGAAATCTAAATAAAGACTCAAAAGATGGATGCAGAAAAACACAAGGGCCAGAATCCAAATAGTGGTGAATGGAGAGAATTGGGTACCACTGGCTTGCACTCTGCCTAATGGAGTCTTGGTAATACTTACCTTCTGACCATTCTTACAAAGCCCCCATGGGATGACTAGGCTCCCAAGAAGAACAGTAATGCCAGGTAATACCAGTTGCATGCTTGGATATTTATCTTCATCCAATCAGCAGTACAGCTGTTACCATAATACCCTGATCAATAATTTGCTACCCAAACCAGAACACCATGACCTCTGAGTACAACATATTTCAAACTAAGGGCAAAGACACATAACAGCCCTTTCTCAGTGTGCTGCAGTGGGAGTGGTTGAGAGCACTCTCATGTTTAGACAGCAATAAAACACTGTTTTGTAAACATAACCAGAAATGCAAAATAGGCACCACTTTATCTTAAACATCAATGCACAAAAACCTGTATTATTCAAAGCAAAGAATGAACATGCTGAAATGGAATTATTGACGTATCTGAAGATTTTGATGCAGTCACCAGACCCAGCCTGGAAGCTGCTCAGCAGCTCATGTTACCCAGGTAATTTTCCCAGTCCCTTAAAAACATTTCCAATTTGGTTTAGTAATGGTTTAGAAAATCACAAGTTAAATGCCATTCATTCATTCCTTCCTTCACCAGCTACTGAGTACCTTTTATGGACATGATGTTGAACTAGAAACTAAGGAGTTGCTAGGAGAACACAGGAACCAAAAGAAATGAAAGCCATCATCCCTGCTTATAATGTAAGTGAGAGAACAACATGCAGCCTTATGTATTTATTGAGCTCCTATTATGTGCAAGGGATTGCATATAAGAAAAAAAAGATGAATGAGGCATGGTTTAACTTTTTAGCCCAGGAACAAAAAACAGCCAAAACATTTATGAAAAATGCATAACCACAAATGCAAAATGATTTGCTGCCCACTAAAGGAAGGGGAATGATCAGAGCTAAGTGCAATTTGTAAGAAATTGTTTATTTGGGGAAATATACTTACATTCCATTGCATTTTAAAAAGAGTTATATTCCTCACTAAACTTGTCTCTCAGGAGACTTATCTAACAGGCATATTCTACTGAATTTAGTATGAAGACATGCCCAAGAGTTCAATAAAAGACTTTAAAGCTAAGTTTAAGATGCATTATCAATACTTTGTAATTGCCTTCCTTCTCAAACAAATGCCAACAAAAATCTTAGTCAATCAGTCAACAAGTATCAACCACATACACACTGAGGATGAATAATGTCACAAACAGTGCTCAGTTTCACAATTCTAACACATGATTGTAAGTTAAAGCCTCTGCAAATGGAAGTGTCTACAGCTCTATGGTCAGTAGGGCACGAACTGATCTGTTGACCAGTCTGTGGCGGAATGGATTCAGTCTGATCTCTCCACTAAATAATACAAAATCTATTCAGACAAAGTCAGGTCAAGGCTCTGCTAGCTGTTTAGGTAGAGGTGGAATTAATCAGGGAACACATCCTGAATCTGAGAGGTTCCTGTGATTTTAAAATTAGGGAGAACTGAAAACAAGGAGACAGAAATAATTTCAGGCATTTGGAAAATTTGAAAGAGGCTGGGAGTAGGTGGGGATGAGAAGCGTAGTGCCTGGCAATAGAGGTATTAATTGGGAGGCAGTAGAAGGGAGTGATTAGGAACTTAACTGTTGGAGTTAGGCAATCTTAGCTCTTCTGGTTACTTTCTGTAACTTGGCCCTGGGCAAGTCACTTATTTAAGTGTCACTTTCCAAACTGTAAAATGAGGTAGCACTTTCAACCCATCATGGTGATTATGAGAATTAGATGAGACTAGTTATTTTAAATTTTTTAAAAAATCACACTTTATAAAACTATGTTTTTAACATTGTTAAATGTGCTGGGCATGTCCAAAGCTACCATAGTATTATTATTGGCAAGAAGACGCCTAGGACATTATCAACCTTAAATCAAAACAGAAAAACTTTTACTATGTGGAACTAAAAGGGATCCCTGAAATCTTTCCTCCAGTTTATTTGCCAAATAAACAAGGTTTATTTGCCCTGAGGACACCCCTCCTTATCGAGACCTCCATGACTTCTCCAGAGCTGCATCATCCTATTTTGTTCATGGACTTCCTTCCAAGAGCAGCCACCGCACCTGCTTTACAATCTGTATGTGACACTCCGATCCTTCCTCTCTGTGCCTTCCCTGAAACATGTCCTCTTCTCATTCTCTTATTTTTGTTAACTGAGCCCAAATTCTCCAAATCATCCAAGCTTGAAACCACAGCCATTTTTCCTCCCTTTTTTGTTTACCACAACATCCAAACTATCACTTATTATGCTAATAATCTTTATTGATCCTTCCTTCACAAAGCTTCCCACATGCATTCCTTCCTTTCTTTGTCACCATCACCCCCTAATTCAAGCTCTATTACCTCAAGCTTGAGAACCTCAGCAGCTTCCTCACCAGGCCCCTGCCTGCAAGCTCTAAGATAACCTTTCTTTGCTGATGCCACCAGATAACTTTCAAGAGTCCCTGGTCTCTGACAAACCACATATTGTCTTCTTTCTGCTTGTCCTGACTGAACCTTGCTATTCTTTATGCAAGTCACTTCACACGCCTGGGCCTCAGTTTCTCCATTGCGAAATGAGCATGCTAGGTGAAACCTCCCCTCATATTAAATTAGTACAATTCCAAGATTCCATTGACTTGTATCTGCTTTCTAGATCAGTCCCCAGCCATCGCTTGGTCTCTCCGCACCATTACTGCCTTGTTCATAGCATTGTCTCTATCCCGTTCCGTTTTTCATTCCAACACCTAGCATAAATCCGTGCACACCGTAGGTGATAAGTATGTGTCGAAATAATAATGAGATAAAAGCTGATGTCTAAAATACCCACATTTCCTCTCTGTCCATGGAAATCTCTCTACATCTTAAAGATCTATTTCTTTTTTGTTGTTGTTTTTTGAGATGGAGTCTTGCTCTGTCACCCAGGCTGGAGTGTAGTGGCACAACCTCGGCTCACTGCAACCTCTGCCTCCTGAGTTCAAGCAATTCTCCTGCCTTAGCCTCCCCAGTAGCTGGGATTATAGGCACATGCCACCAAGCCTGGCTATTTTTTTTATTTTTAGTACAGACGGGGTTTCTTTATGTTGGCCAGACTGGTCTCGAATTTTTGACCTCAGGTGATCCACCCACCTCAGCCTCCCAAAGTGCTGGCATTACAGGTTGGCAGCCACTGTGCCCAGCCTGGAAGATCTATTTCAAAGGCAACCTCCACCAGGTTAGCTTCCCTCTTCACGCATAAGATTTATAGCTCTCTTCCCACCTCTAAAACTCTTAGAGTAGTTTGTTGATATCATGTCAATGCTCACATTTCCTTAGTTTTTGAGGACACTGAAGGCAGGGGCTAATTCATTGTCTCTTGTATTCATACGGTGCCTAGAACAGGGCTTTGTCCAGTGACTATCCACATTTTACCCATTCTCTGATTGTGTCACCTGGGTAAGTCTTGCCTCCTAATACAGCTGTACATTCCCAAAGGAAGGGAATCTCAAGCCCATATACTTGGTCTGTAAATATCATGGTTTCTGGCAAAATTCTAGGTACACAGAAGATGCTGAAAAAAAAAATTAACGTTTGGTTTAACAATCAAGTAATGTATGTGTGGAAGAGGATACCTTCAGGAGTGGCAGGGAGCAACACTGACAGGGCAGAGGAAGGCTAAATCATCTAAGGACAAGTTAGTGAGTGTTCAAAGGAAATGACGGAGGAAGATGGGGAATATGCACCAAAGAACAAGAGGAAAGTCTTTAGCAGCAGACTGTACATGGAGAACAAAGGACAGAGAGAGACAATGACCCCAAAGCTTGTGGTTTGTGGGGGAAACAGCAAACTGGTTTCTGACCACTGGGAGCACACAAACAAGAAGTTAGGCAACCTGGTGTGTGCTGTACTGCAGTGTCAGCCTTGTGCTAAAGATTAACAGCCATCCTTAAAGCGGACTAAAGATCAGCAGCAAGCTTGCAAAGCACCAAAGACCTCATTGGCAGCAGACTGCAACTGCAAGGCATATACCAGCAGTTCTCTGCAGAAATAGACACCACTGGTCAGGCACAGTGGCTCATGCCTGTAATCCTAGTACTTTGGTAGGTGGAGGTGGGTGAACTGACTGAGCTCAGGAGTTCGAGACCAGCCTGGGCAACATAGTGAGACCCTGTCTCTACTAAAAATGCGAAAAAATTAGTTGGGCATGGTAGTGCTTGCCTGTAATCCCAGCTACTTAGGAGGCTGAGGAAGGAGAATCACTTGAACCTGGGAAGCAGAGGTTGCAGTAAGCCAAGATCACACTACTGCACTCCAGCCTGAGAGACAGAGAGACTCTGCCTCCAAAAGAAAACAAAGAGTCACAACTTGATCCTTTAACCATCGATGGAGCATCTCAGTCAAGCAAATATGTCCTTGAACAAGGAAATGTGACTGGCCAGTGTTTCTGAGGATTCCTAATAGAGAATACCCATTTCATCCCTGACACGGAGGAAAAGCAGTAGGAACGAGGAAATCTGAGATCTGATTAAATACTAATCCTAAGTTCCTCATCTGTGGGAAGACAGAAACCATGCATAACCAAGGGTAGCAACTACACTTAGCAGGGCCCCAATAAAATGATTATGAGAAGGCTGATAATTCAGGTAGAATCAGACTTATTAAGAGAGAAGACCTAGGCATGGTGTCTGGGACACAGTAGGAGCTCTATAAATGTCCTAAATTTCCTTGAGTGGCATTCTATCAACATGCGTATCTGACTTCTGCAGTTCAGTGATAAGTCTCCTTGAGGACTGAGGCCTTGCGTTAGACACCTCTCCACCTCTTCCTGCACCTGGTATAACACCTTGCACATAATAATATGAGCTCAAGAAATACCTGGTGATTAATTGCCTCACAGGTGGCATCTGTGGCTGAAATCTATTCCACACTAAATTGGCAAATGCAGTCTTCAGAATGTAGGTAAACTGGTCAGCCTGAGAACAGTCTTAAACTTTGATGATCAGCAGCATTTCTTCTGATGAAATAAGTGGAAACTAGTGTATTGTTAAGTGTTGTAATCCACACATGTGTTTATATGGCTTACACTGAGAAAACCACACTTATTCCTACACACACACACACACACACGCACACGTGCACTTAGAAGGCGGTGGACAATAAAGAGTTGATGAAGTTGTTTGTATACACTATATAGAGACAGACAGACAAGAATTGACAGAACAATCGGCTCACAAAGAGTTGTTAATACGTAAGAAAGAAAGATACCAGGAAGAGCCAGCCTAGTGTTTTAAAACTGCATTTTCTTTGCTTTCTGCTTTTAAATTACACACTGCAAAGTCACTGAGGAGAAAGCTTTAAGAAAACTTTCATTTGCGATCGTACAGCTCGTCGGTCTTTCTTTACCTAAAGAAATAAATAAATAAATCCCTAGAAACATTTCTTTCTTCTCATAGACATTAATAACGATAGCTTGAACTGTAAAGATTTGGCTTTACTGAAGGTAATGGAGTAATGTTTATTTCCATTAGGCTAGGCCTATAAAATCCTCTTTTTATAACCATGAGCCTACAATTTCAAAACAGCAAAGCTTGACATTTTGGTCTCTGACAGGCAACACTCAATATTGGGATGTTTTAAAAATCTATATGAAAAAAGCTCTTAATACAAGATAGGCCGAACATTTTCCCTGCAAATGGTTTGTTTTAGCTATCTCTCTTCCTCCCTGATGGACCAGGAAAATCAGACAGCTTATTGGCTTAGTTTGTTAGGCCAGGTTAAAGGGATGCAATGCCGAAAGACTCTTAGAGGAGCTTACCCTTGAGCTAAAAATAGCAGGCACTAGAGAATTATCTTAAATACGACCAAACTTGTTCTGTACTGTGAATGCAGATAACTGTAATATGTTTCCATTTTGGGTCATTTGAGAGCTTTTTTTTTTTTTTTCTCCTAGCTTGGCTTGCTGTAGCTGACTATTTAATTCATTTCTGATTCTATTTGTCACATTTGCTCTCAGAGATACCGCCCGGGGGTGCTTGACTAAAGAATCCTTCTTATTTAGCTGCACTGCTTTTGTTAAAACCTAATGAGCCATTGGACTGCAGAGTGTAATGTAGATGGGACTTGTTAGAAGGCAATTTATTTTCAAATGTTATTAAGAACCTACTATGTGTTTTCTTTCTCTTGTCTTCCTCCGAAGAAGTAGAAAGTGCAGTCTGCTAAGTTTTATAAATAAAAAAGAAGATATTTAACTTATGACTGATTGAAGACTCACGAGTTAAAAAAGAAACTACCAACAATTATCAAATTTCCTCTCTTCTCACCCTTTGCACAGACATGTTTACTCCTCTGTCTGTGTCTTCATGGCACTTCACTTCTAACTTTACTACCGATGCACCCCCTTTTTTTTATAATTAGTTGCTCAAGTCTGTCTTTCTGACTAGCCAACCAGCTCCTGAAGGGAAAATTCTGTGTCATATGTATTATGCACTTAAAACATCTTTGTATTATGAGCACTTAAATGAGTGCCTGCCATGTACTTGTTGCTCCTTACATAGTTGACAAATGGGTCAATCTAAGAATGAATCAAATCAGTTTCTGCATTAGAACATTCTGAATAGGAACATACTGAATTGTAACATGAAAGTCAGACTACAATCCTGTATTGGATAGACTGTCCCTTCTAACAAAGAGAGCTCAGCAAGCTTTTGCTAAAAGACTAAAGATGTCCATTACAACTGTATTACAGACACCAGAAAAAGGCAGGAAATTAAGGTGAAGCAGATCCTCTCTTTGCTGTTTTTGCATCCTGGTTCCAATGCTCACGGACCATAAATGAAAGTAAGGCCCAAATCATTCACAAGTTCTGAAAGATCTGAATGTCTTGAGAAATTACCCATCGTTCCCCAGCCCAGGATTTCTTTCTAGTCCCTGTGCTTGATTCTTCCAAAAATAAGATACCTGCGATACAAGTATGGCACAGTAAACTTGTGCAATCATGCAATCACTCTTCCACAAGTGGTACATTGTTTTCATTACAATTGTAAATGAGAGAACAACAACAACAACGAAAAAAACAGTTGCAAAAATGTTAAGTCTGAATTCATTGAGAGGGTCAAAACCAGCCGGGAAATACGGGCACAGTGCTGGGAACAGCGTGTTAGGAAGCTGTGGCCATCCATTTTCATGAACTCCCTGAGAACAGCTGATTTCTTGAACAGAGACACAGTTACTTTCATGCTCTGGAACCCCAGTACATACCTACTCCTGAGCTCTTCATTGAGTGTCAGAAATATTTCCTCTTGTGGGGGAGAGAAGAGTAAATGCTCTATGTCTTCGGTAAACACATAGAGGCACCTTTACCTGCCGACACACATTGGCTTAACACAGCCATATGCCACCCAACTTCACATATCTTAATCTGAAGAGCAAGTCTTGTAGGTGAGTTAGGAGGTAAGTTCACAGACACTCTGGCAGACACACGGTATACTTCTGTCACTATTGGCTCTGTTTGCAAACAATATCTTGGAGAATGTGTTCTCAGATCTTCGATATCTCTTATTTTCAACATGATTGGTCTGAATGGCTCGGAAGGTCATTTTATATTCTCTTTCTCTCTTTCTGAATTTGGTAGAGCCCCTGTAAACCCATCCATTAACAGAAACTAGAGAGAGTTTTAATGTGCATAGCTTTGTGCTAGGGACTGAGGAGATGATGAGGTCCCTCTTTCCCTCATGCAGTTTCTAATATACCTTGAGAGATTTAGCAGAAAAGCTATTATCTAGAAAGCTGGACCACAATTCAAAGGCCTTAATGAAAGAAAAAGATGCTCTTTTGCACATGTGACAACAAAAATTCACTTTGTGCCAAAGAGGGTCACACATGCCTTCCTAAATTTAGGGACTTAATAGTTTATTCTGTGCCTGGTAAAGGCTTCATGTAAACACAGACCAAAACAACAGTCTTTAAAATAGCACATCGTGACAATACCGTTTATGGAAATCGTGTCTATGGAAAGTTTCGTTTGGGTTCTCATTCCTTAAGACTTATTTCCAATGGCACTCAAAGGAAGACAGATTTAATCTCTGATAACCCCCAATTGCACACCTTATTCTATCACTTAATTTGCATGGGTACTCTCCTTTCCACTGCTTGGCTTCATGGAGGGCACAGAGATGGCAGG